TCGTTAATCACCTAAAACACTAAAGCTTGAAAAAGTCAAGCGTTGAACGATTCACAGCATCTGTTTAATTCTGTTTTTCTTGTTTTCCATTTTTCGTCTTTCTTTTCGTTTTTTTATCCATTAAATCAGTCGCCCGTCGTCGCTCTCAGTTGAACCGATCTCCCTTCTAATATACATGTGTACAAACGCGTGGATCGTTTACTTACGGATTTCATCTACGTCTATATCGTTATTCACGCGATACTCGTGTGGTTGTATGCCGCTAACTTTTATTTTTAAAGTAATATCAACTCTACGATCACATATGCGTTTACGGGGTGCGCTTTTTGCGAGTTTATTGTGCGTCATTTGAAATTGTGAGTCTCTGTCCTCGTCGGTGTGTCCATCCTCCGACTGGCCAACCGGTTGACCCCTCGAATGCCCTCTTATCGAGTCGCCTGTTATTCTTTCTTCTCGTTCTCGTATATTCACGCATCATGCATTCATGCACACATACACACACACGCGCGTGCGCGCACACACATATACACACTAAGTAAATGCGCACAAATTGGCGCGTTCAGATTTCACAGGTGTCGCTGAGAATATTAGCACTCGCGATACCTAAAGGCAGGTTTCTAGCGGAGCTGCGACGGCGGGTGGGAGAGTGTCAGTTCACGAGGCATGAATCATTGATCGATTAACCCCTTACCTTACTATTTCTTTCTCAATTGTGATCCATCCAATTACGTTGTCATCGGCAAGTTATCGAGAAGCAAGAAAAATGTCTCGGCATGTTCTATGTTCACGTTTGTTCCAATGTGTAATGGTAACAGGGGAATATTTCATTTGCATTTCCAAGAACCGAGTGATATTTACGTACGTTAAATTCTGCTTGAACTCTTCACGAGTTCGACGCGATATCGTAAGACGAGTAGTTAACAGTTAAGTGAACGTAACTCGATACATCGGTTCAACGTAAACGAGTTCGTTTGAAACAAAATTAAGTACATACTTAAAATACTCGAGTACACAACTCGATTCATTAAGAATAAAAATCATTTCCTCGCTTGGTTATCGTTGCAGCTCCGCTGTAAACGTACCCTTGCCTTTTTAAACATACTTATTTAACACTGGAACCACCAGTCGAAACGACCCGTTTCAGATTTTCCGTTCTACGTTTATTAAAAAAGTACAGATACCGTTCTAAGTAATTATCGAGTCAATCGATCTGCCAACAGCTACTCTGAAGTATGAGTCGATCGATCCTCGACAAACATGCTCTTGCAGTTTCTACGCGAACGTTAAAAGAAGTCGACCTGGCTGCTAGATAGTCCCAGCGTTAACACTTTACCAAAGCAAACCGTTGAAGGAAACCCGTTCCCGTTTGATTCACGACGCGGAACCGGACGCGGGGGAACAAGAGACGAGCGTGTCAACGAGAAACGAAAGAAAGTATACAAGAATTTCACAGCCTCGCGTTCCTCTTCGAACTGCCCGCTGCTCGCCGTTCGTTTAAACGGATCGACTCGCCGTGTTCTCGCTATGTCAATCCATTCTCGAACCATGCATATACTGCTAGGAGATCACTTGATAGATAGTCCAAGGAATTCAGCTGATCGATCACTTTCCATTTCTTTTTACCTAGTTTCATATTCATTCATCTGCTAATTCCTGATACTTCCAATCGCTAATTTACTATTCTCCAATACGGTTACAGGTAACCAATGGAAACTGATAAACAATTTTTGAATATTCATAGAATTCTTAAAAATTAAATTTGTTCATTTCATTCGGACATTTTTTATGAGTAACCTAAAAGTGAATACTTCATAAAGCTGCGAGAAAGACACCTCTCGCTACTGTGCCGTTCCGCTAAGCGTCAAGTCATCTCCCAGTTGTACACGCCGAGCCGCCGTCGACGCGTCGAGTTTATTCGTCGGTGCAACGGACCTCGCGTGAACTAGCACGTTTTAAAACCGTCCGTTGGAAATTGTCGCGGAGCCGAGAGACGGATAGATATACAGGGAGAGGCTTAAGTGAACGTGGGATTTGCGTTTTGCATAGCGAACCCTCGACCCGGCTTGGTATCCCACGACGATTCTCCATCGACGGACACGCGGCCTAAAAAATGGTGAAAGGCACAAAGTAAAAGATAAACGGTCAACGTATGCTCAGGCACATATCGAGTCGAAGAGTTTTCGTTATTCCTGACTTCTCCTCGCGACCTAGCGACTGCCGGCACGCTATCGGATTCGGCACCGACGAAAATGCTTATCCGCGCGTTAATAACGTACTATACATGTACGAAGCAGTTTCGTTTACCTTGATCACCTTTTTTCTTTCTGTTAATACGTTCACTTACTCTTCCAGAACAATGGCAAATCTTATTTTAACGCATTCGTTGCCATCCTTTAAATATGTGATTCCATTTGTATTTTCAATTCATGTTAAAATACAACGAAGACACTCGTGTTGGCTAAACGCATCCCTAATCACGGGAATATTCATGACTGGCAGCTAATGGGTTGAACAATATTCGCAATCGATTCCTCCAGGGAAATTCTAGCAAATTGAACGGCGCGGTAACGTGGCGGGTTGCCGATGGACAACGCGTTAGAAAAGCTACCATTGAAAGATCAGCTGGCGACCGATGGATCATCATATCCGTTCTTGCCGAATGGCGATCGAGGTAAACGAAAACACCTTCTCTTTTCGTATGTCGATGTATACGTGTGCGTGTGATGTAGTTCTTTTACAGGCCCCCACACATTGTGGCGCGTGTCGTCGAAATATGCATCGACGCCAAGTTTCGTGAAACCTGGATCGCTTCGGTTCGCCTCCGTGCGTATCGAAATGTCTTCTCTTCCGACCCCGGTGTCAGTTTGAACAACAGGATCTACGATGATTGCAGAAGAGAAAAAGAAATTAAAAACTAAAAGGAAACAGCCTAGGCTTCTGATTCCTGATCCACACACATTGAAACGTGTATCATGAGACCTAGGTACCGACGCATGCACCTGCGACACACATCATAACGCGTAGAGGCCTCGAGTCTATCCGCGTGTACGAGCGTGTGAACGTGTCAATGTGCGTGTGCATTGTCGGATGATACCGCGTGCGTTGTGTCAATTGATATACATACGTAGTATCGTACGCTGAAAACACCCGCAACTCCGTCCGGCGTATCAAAAAGGGCTAATGTACTTGGTACATCGATAGAGAGTTTCTGTAACTCAGAGTTACCGAATGCGTAAAATTGATGATCATAGCTCTGGCTCGCAGGATCGACGGATCGACGATATTGACTTCGGGGCAGTAGACAGGGGCGGGGGTCGAACGTATCCGGTCGAGACGGGCATCGTTCGTCTCGCGAAAAGGAATTTCCCTAGCCTTTGTGTACCGGTCTCGCTGTGAAACGGTCGGTCTGGTTTTGGTGCGTGGTTCAGCGACCGCGATCCGCAACGTGTCAACACGTCGATCGAGATGCATACCGTTTGTCCTTAACGTAAAATGTTTGCCCGTGAACAGGAACTCTGTCTAGCCGGAACGCTTCAAGGGCGCAGTAACGAGTGCCAGCGTTGAACCTGCGTCGGCTGGCTTGCGGCACGCATGTCATTCCAATGCTGCAACTCCTCCGGGCCGGAGCTATTCAGTCCTAGACTCAGCCAACCGATCATCTCCCTTCCTTTCCTCCCCATGCTTCCCCTTCGTCGATTGTACACCGACAAGAAGAGCGTCACGTCACCGAGTTGGAACAGAGCGACCTGCGAGCAGACAGTGTTTCACGTTCGTACAGCGCGCGCGCTCGTAATCGATTGCATCCTCCTCCTTTGACAAGCAAAGGCTGGAGTGTGAAATGTATTTTTAGAAGCGTGGCAAGGTCGGCTCGGTCACCGAATATAATAAGATCACGGAAAGACGTTACGTTACCTGGAATACAAACGTTTCCTTGTAAAGAGGATTCGGTTGGGCACGTTTCAGGCCCGTTTTCGAACGTTGGATCTCATGATCGTTACTGTCTACGAGGGCCAGCTTCACGTACGTGTCCGGTGGTTTCGTATCGTTGCCACCACCGCCCCGGAAATGCGACCCTTTGATTATCTCCACCGATAAACGTCCCGTTGTCCCGTTATACGACAAGCATATCAGAATCTCCGCCACGCTGCCGCCTTTCATGCTGCTACCGTAAGGCGGTACGGTGGGTGAGGCGTACGACTGAACCGACTGCTGAGATCCCGTCGAGTCGCTACGAGTCAAACTACCAGTTGTCCCCCAGTCCTGCACCTTCGCGAATTGGCTACCGTTAGCTGGTATTAGGATCAACACGGGTACACGTGATTCTCACCGAGGAAGAAGGCGGCGGTTGAAGCGTTAACCAAAGAGTCGTCTCGAGCTGAAGATTGATCTGATCAAAGGAAACCCTGGCTTCGCCGAGGAGTCTCTCGCGACGCATTCTGCCGCCCCAGAAGTAGACTCGCAGTCGTACACCCATCGCGTTTACATCCTCCGGATTCACTCGAGGAAGCAAGAAACTTTCCATGTACTGAGGGGATGTGCCTTGTCGTACGCGGGTCTTGCGTCGTTGCTTCTTCGACGGTAGTAACACCAGCCGCACTTGACTGCCACCGATACCTTCCGGATAATTCCGACCTTGGAGCACGTGTACCTGAACGAGGAATATAACTGATATAACAACAAGCGTGTAACAATCTATAACAATCGCTCGATCTCAAGGAACACGAACCGTCATCTCGCGCATCGGCGCGTCGTACAGGAACGCAACCTCGAGGCTGCCAACCTCCTCGACGACCGTGCCCATCGTCGTGATGACGTCGTTAGTCGTAGGACCATTTTGCTCGACCTCCACCTCTTGTTCCCTGGCGTCGAGCAGGATACTGGAGGCTCCCACGTCCACTACGCACTGCGCGAAAATCAATTCCCCGTTAGGAGTCACGCGACGCAACGTGAAATGCGTTAACATATCGCGGTTTAATCCCTTGCTTTACAATGTCGTGTTAGACTCGTGACAAATATTTCAAATGAAACATTATTTTCGTTGTTAACAATTTGTACGGTTTAGAGTAATTCTAGACATGGGAAGAGCATGAAATTTCTTTCTTACTAGTGCATTATTTATGATAAACAGTTCTAACAAGTGTAACTGGGAAATTAGATCGTAGGACAAGGGGTTAACGCTAGAACTGGCGAGTAGTTACAACGAATTATTTATAATTTCTTGGAAAAATCTTTGATTGTAAGTTCCTTTGCAATTTCTTGCAGAAGCATCATTCGTAATTTTAACGGTTGTTCAATAAAAATTTTGAAATGGGTCGCTTCGATCCGACTGTCTGGTGGTTCTAGTATTCATTTCTGTTCGGTTCACCTGTTGTTGATCGGTGGGGGTGTGTTCTTCCGTGCAGCTGCTGGAGGTGGTGCCAGCGTCTAAGATGTACACAAGTGAAACGTTAGGGGTATGATATCGTTTCAGGGTCGTGCGATGGAAGTGCAATCGCTCACCAACAATAGTAGGACCATCTTCGGCTTGAATAGTCAGAGTATCCGGCGGCGGAAGGGGTCTCGGATTCAATCGGCGAAGAGCATCTTCCTCCGAGTCGGAGCTAGTCTCTGGATCCGAATAGGAAAACGCCTTTCCTGGTGTATTTCGTGGAACAAGAGGAAGTAAATTTGTTAGAATCGCGGGTAGAGGAAAGCACTGTGCTCGCAAGAATTTTAAACAGCTTTTATCTCGGTAACCAGACTTATGGCCGCTCATCGGAGCCTCTCAGGCTTCTTTGCCTAGACGTCCACGTGCTGGGTGTAATTTGCTCTCGCAATCTCCAGGGTTTCAACCCTGCTGCGCTCCTCAATTGATCTATACATGTGAAATATTATTTAAAAAAAAAAAATAAGAATACTTAAACTAGTTAACATGTTTTCTTATAATATTCTCAAACTCAAATGACCTGGGAGAAAATGGGGACGCGATCAACGCGAAGAACGCACAGGCTACATAAACTGGTAACAAGTTCTCTTACAGTATTATGAAATTCAAATGACCTTGGGGAAAATGGGGACGTGATCGACTCGAAGAGGGTTGAACGAATGAAATGGTGCTAGAAAAATGGGAAAGTGATTGGGTCAAAGTAGACCCGAAGGACGCAGCAGGGTTACAGAGAGACGCGAGCCTTCTCGACTCAGCTGACCGTGGTCCATTGTTACGTCGATTGGTTGGAAATGTGGAAGAGTTACCTATATTTTTAGTGATCTGAGATGTGGAACTGTTGTTTGACTCGCATAGGGGCACGCATACGCCGCCGAAGAGGGTGGTCGTGGACGGCGGTGTGAAACACCACTTACGGGACAGGTATAGAAATAAAGCCAAGAGCAGGACCACGAAGCCAGCAACGGCACCCAGAAATGCAGTCGCTTCCACAGGTACTGGAACATAAATCGCGACAACTCTTCATTCCAGCTGGAATAAAATGGCGAACGAAAATCATACTTTAGGCTGTAAACGTAAAACTTCTCCACCTATTAACTCCTTGCCTTATAATATCGTGTCAGACTCGTCGTGAAGATTCCAAATACAGTTTAACACATACAAATGTTACTCGATTCTTTTGGATTCTAATTAACACGTTGAATGCCGTGGGGGTCACCGGTGACCAAATCGAATTACTATAATTCACTCAATGAAACGATGCTTATTTGAAAACATTTTCGTATTAGTAACGATGCAACCTAAAGCAGTGACGTTTGGCAAGATAACCGTGCAACAATGACAACGCAGTTCAATCAAACACTTTGATATTATATTTTTTTCCGTTTCGTGTATTTCCCTGCGTGAGATCGCTCGGCATTCAACGTATTAAATATTATTCGTGTTATATTAATCATTATACCTTAGAGCAAGTATGGGCATAGAATTTACCTACAATATTTCTCTTTCTCCGATAAATATTCAATGATAAAGTGGTTCTATCTATCACAGTTGAGAAAGAAATCATAGGGCAAGGGGTTAAACGGAGGAAAAACATTGTGGAAAAACATGGCGCGTGGTGAGCGGAAGTAGAAGCAACGAGCTTTAACGCTAGAACTACCGAGCAATTCAATTAGATTTTCTAATTCTCCTATAGAAACTCCAATATTGTGTCTGGTGAGATTTTAAATCGATTTCATTAATCGTTACCCTAAGAAGCATCTGTTCCTTTTCAATAGCTGCAAAAGAAGAATCTACAACAGGAATGGGTCATTTCGACGATTCTTCTTCTGCAGCTATTAAAAAGGAACAGATGCTTCTCAGGGAAACGCGTAATGAAATTGATTTAAAAATACGCGAACAAAATTCTAAATCGATTGAAATCTCTGCAGACAGAATATTGGAGTTTCTATCGTAAAATTAGAAAATCGTATTGAATTACTCGGTAGTACTAGTGTTAACCCCTTGCCGTACAATGACGAATGAGACTCGCGACGAAGATTTCTAGATTAACTTAACAACAATCAATGTTCTTCATTACCCGCGGACCAAAACAGACAATTATTCTGCTATTATCAATGTATTATCTTCAAATGAAATTTCCACTGAAATGACAACAGAAAATTTCGTTGCATTTCTCCCAAATCGTCGATAGTAAAATATTACACTTCACAGTAATCCGAAGTCCGACAATTTTTCCCATCGCGGTTCAACCGTTTGACTGCTGTGGAGCGCTATAGCGCTCTTCTTGCGGAGCCGCTTCTGTTTATCAGTATCAATTATAATTTCCTTACTATGTTTCTCAAGAAATAAATCAAAGTAAATTTATTCGAATAAATGTTATTTTTCGATATTTCTTTGTAATAACACAATATTCGTGATCTCATTAGGTAACTACTCTTATTAATTTTTTTTCATACACACCCAATCATCTCCGCATTTTTGGTAAACGTCCACAAAAGTTGTTTAGCATCCAAACAGTTAACACGTTAAGTGCCCAGCCCAACTTGCTTGTCGTTCCGTTCAGGCCCGGCGCGGCCGTCACCACTGACGGACGAGCCGAAATATCGGCTCGAGGACCGGAGTTTTCTCAATGTTATAATAACAATTCCCGAATATTAGATTCAAAGGTGGCAAAGAATTTAACACAAAAAGTTAGCACCTTCTGCAATGAATGTAAAAGCAAACCACACCCCTGTTTACTCTGTTTTAATAAACTACATTAACTTTTTTTAAATATTATATTCTTTTTCTTTTTCAAGCCTTGAGTGAACAAAAACCGACGTCGCCTAAGCAAAATATTTAGTCTCACGTCAGTGCGTAAGGACCGACACGCGCGGTCGTGTAATATGAACCTAAAGTTCGCATGGACCGGCCGCGCCTGAACGAAAAGTCTAACGCCGGCCCCTAGGGACCGGCGTGGCGTTTAACGTGTATAACGATCCTCCGATTTCGCGAAGGACGTGCCATGGAAGTCTAACGACTGTCAGGTGTTCATCGTCATTATTATTATTACCGTAAATCCTTTATCGGGTACAGGGAAAGGCGTTCACCCGTGCCGATGAGATGCCGACCGGCGGTTGTACGCGCCGTTTGGCATATATCGAACGCGTTCAAACACCGGCGACACGTTACGCCGCCGTAACGACCTGGAATAATTAATCGCCGCTCCAATTGCCTCGCGGACCGCCACCGCGGACGCCACCGTCGCCGCCGTCGACGCAATATTGCGCAGTGAACGGCCAGTTTCAAGGCTCGCGATGCCGAACAATTATTCCGTTTCGGTTTCCGTTCGATCGGCCGATCCTCGTGTCCAAAGCGACGATTGATCTTGATCGCCCTCGACGGAAGAGCCGCGGCATTATTCGGGGCGTCACGTCCAAATAGAGGGTGGCCTCAACGTTTTGCGCATTGCGGACACGGCCGCGTTCACGCTCGATCCCCGCGAGAACACGGTTCACGGGATTGGTCTCGAACGGTTGATCCACGCGTGTACCTGGGACACGAGAACGAGCGTGCCTCGCTGTCCTGATCGAATCGATCGACCTAACCCAGGCTCGAGAGACTTCTAGGCATGTACCCTAAGCAGCAAACTTGCGAACGCACGGTTGTACTTAACGAAACAATGACAGGGAGTCTAAGAATAATTTGTACGGTTAGCTTTCGTCGAAGAATGGCCCCTTCGTGCATGTAACCCTCCGAGTTTTTCCACTAGAATAGAATCATGAAGGGAAACGTTTCGACAATTCATAGAATTCGTTGATACACATAAACACGCACGATCGCGCAGGAATGTACAGAGCGTTGGTCAGACTTTTTAGGGAACTATGAAAGGTTTGAATTGTTTTACCATTCGTCTACCTCCACGTTACTCGCACCGTGAAAATCGCGTTTAGCACAAGTGGCACTGCGGCATTAATTTACCAAATGGATTAATGCATTGTCGTGTCCTGAGCGGGGGATCGATCAAGCACACCCGATCTTGCGAGCTATGCCACATCGGGGTGATTCAGAAATTGAACGCGGTGTATAGTGGACTTACCCGCCAGAAAATGGTCTGATCCAGCCAAAATCATGCTCGTCCTTGTGTTGCATTAAAGCCTTCCTTTTACGTGGTTATGTCGATCGGACGCGGTGAGTCCTCCACGGCGAATAATGGACTCATTATCCGCTCGATGCGGGCCTTGTTTCCGACACGAGGCTCTCGTGGCCGTTCGAGATCCTCGTGAAGCGTGGTTACACGAGCTGACCGAATAATAATACGTGGG